ATATATATAAAATTTTGAAGCACCTGTTCCAATGAACACCATAAATTTTAATGTTAAAGTTTTAAAGTACCAAAAGTTATAATGATCACTAGACTTTTCAACCACAATACTGAAAAATTCTGGTGATCTGCTAGGATTTGTGGTAAAATTATTCTAACAATCACCATAATTGATGCGTGCTTAAAATTCTGGTGAGCGAATTTAAAAAATTTGGTGGGGAATTTTCCTCAAAACTTTTGTTATCGAAATTAAAAAATCAAATAGTGACACCAAAGTATCATATATCTTTGGGGGGGGGGGGGGGAAATCAGAAATAGCCAGATTTATAACTGATAATTGAAAAATAGCCACAACTTCAAAAGTAATCGTGATTTAGTCACTTTTTATGTAATAATTAAATCTAAACAAAAATACCCTTAAAAAATCAGAAAAATTTCTGCATAATATGCTGGAGTTGGAACCTTTTGCGTATGAGATTCCACGATAATGTGTTGGAGTTTCATAATGTGCTGAAGTTCCAACATAAAATGCTGGAAGTTTATACCTAGGAGCTTCATAATCCAGCATATTATGCTGGAACTTTCCGTGTGCTGGAGTTCCAACATAATATGCTAGAAGTTTATATGCAGGAGCTCCATAAATCCAGCATATTATGCTGGAACTTTCCGTGTTTCAGCAAAACAATGGCTGTTTTTTCAGTGACTTTGTAAATGCCGGCTATTTTTCAATTGTCAGTCCGAAAACTGGCTAGCCCATGCTATTTTCACTATTTCTGTCATTCTCCTTTTTTTGATTCAATTGTTGCTGTGGGCTGCAATTTAGCCCAATGAAAGCGTCCTTCCAGCCCATACCTGAGATGTTACCCAACTAAATGTCTTCCTTTTGTCCCTTCTCCTTGGTTTACAAAAACAGTCACAAATCTATTTTACATATTATGTAGTTCAAATAGTTGCAAGTTCTTTTTCAATATTAGGTTATGCCTCTTTTATGTAGAAGCACATTCAGAATCTTAAAGTTAGTGTATGCAACATGTCACTGCATTTACTTCTCTTTTGTGGAAATGAATTTGAATTTAGTATAAATATCACGGATTTTTAAAATATTACTTTTATATAAATAGAGACTAAAATAATGATGATGGAGCCATAGTTGCTTGTGCTTTTGTCATCTTCAAATGAAAAATATCTAATAATTAAACCACATCATAATAAAAGTATAAAAGTCAATATTTTTCTTTTTGAAAATAGTGAATGGCTTTACCCACTGAAATAAAGGAAGATTCTTCACCATTGATTCCATGCACCAACTATGAAGCTTCTTTCTATCCTTTCCCCATTTTTTTAATTAGTAATTCATTTCACTCGTCTTTCTTATAATAGTGTCCCTATAGATAAGATTGGTCTCCTACGTCAGCTACACTTATATTTATTGAATGATTATCTAAACAAGAGGAGACACATTGATTTTTCTTTTCTTTCCCCTTCCTTTGATCCCTTTTGTCGGAGCCATTGCTCCTTTGATAACTCGAACCCACAACCCTGGAGTTGTAAGTAGATGTGCTAATCATAGGAGCAACCCCCTTGTCGAGGAGACGTCATGATTTGAAAATTTGAATTTATTGAATTGTCTTAGTTATAGGTTCACAACTAAATATTTATATATATTTAATAAATTTTTTAATACAAATACAACATCTACTGAACCTATAGTCAATGCTTTAATTATCTCTGCCCCCGGACCTGGCATTATGTTATCCGTTAAATATATACATATAGTAGAAACAGTTAGAAAGATGTCGACGAATTTTGACAAATGGAGGTCTGTATATCAATGATAATCAATTGATTTTTAAATGAATATAGTCCATCTTAAAAATTGAAAAGACAAGAGGGGACAATATAAGTACTCCTAATAAGTAATTGAAGTTATGGTTTAATTGTTACAATTCAATTTTACACCACTTTGGTTTACTAATTTGTTAATTAGACTTGCTAAAAAAAGTAAAACGAAAGTCTCTTAATTTTAGAGTTTAGTGTTTAAATAAAAAACAAACATATACCAATTATTCGGCCATATCATAAAAAGTATGACTTTCAAGTCCTTTATTTTTCTTAAAATCTATTTTTTTAACCTATTATTCGCATGGCGGAATTCATCTCCAAAATTGAAAAAATTAAGAAACTGTCAATATATGTAAGTTGTTTTTATAACGCATTATAATATCTTCTTTATATATTTAAAATCTTTGGAATATTAGATCAAGTGGGAGTAGGATTTAGTAGTAAAATATATTTAGGTGTACCTTAAACAGAACAAAAGGGACAGAGGTATAAATTTTCAGCTAATTCCTCGCCGTGATACCTTATAAACCCGCAATATATATAGAGAGTTTTCCATATAATCCAAGATTCTAATTAAAAAAGGTTCAAACTTTTCCTTTTTTGTGTCAACTCTCTTTCCTCTATTCTCAAAACTCTTCATTATTTGTTTCCACAACACAGACCCTTTGCTACCCAAAATCTTGTTTCTGGTATTGTCACCCCTCTTTTCTCTCTGTTTCTCTTCTGCATATTGGCCTTTCCATTTATTTTGAATTTGTCTATTGTTTCTGACTCGAGGGTCTCCCGCAAACAGCCTCTTTATCCCTCCGGGGTAGGGGTAAGTTGTGCGTACATTCTACCCTCCCCAGACCCCACTAGTGGGATTCTACTGGGTGGTTGTTGTTGTTGTTTCTCTTCTGCATATATTGTTTTTTTAATGATCATGTTTTTGTGTGTGTGTGTTTGTTTGTGTTTTTTGTGATCAATGAGTCTTGCATGTTATGGTTATGGTGTTTGTTATCAATATATCTTGTGCGTGTGACACCTTAGTCAAATCCACATCGACAAAACACGGGAGAGATGCTGGATATATAAGTTAATATGCCTTAGATCCTAGTGATGCATTCTAAACCGTTTGGGTCTAGGCTCAAAGCGGACAATATAACTAGTAGATTAGGTTGTTACCGTGTGTGTGATTTTTCAAACACCAAACAATAGAACCCTTGTTCTGTTTCTGTAGGTCTTAAGTCTAATTTTTCAGTGATTGATTGCATTATCTGTTAAATGAATTAAGTTTTCCTAGCAATTTTTGGGGGAAAAAAAGAAAAAATTTTATCTTTTATTTCTTGTTAATCTTGTATTAAGAGCAATAAAGTTGGAAAAGAAATTTACTATTTTTGGTTTGACATCTTTTTACAGTTTAGTGTTTAGTTTTGTTTGCTTATTTATAGTTTGTTTATAGCTTTAAGGGAATTGCTGCTGAAAGTTTGAAGATTTATGTGATGATTTGAAAAAACATCATGGGTTCAGTTTGTTGTTGTTTCACTGTTTCTGATGTTGGAGATAATGCTGCTGTCTCAAATGATCAAAACCATAGCAGCTGCCAGTGTTTTAGTTGCTGCTTTCAGAACATACTTAATACGGTACCTGTCGAAAATTCTTTGCTTTTGGCTATGAAGTAATTGTATATTTTTATCTTATCCTAATGTTTGGATGGTGCGCTGAACTATTTAATGTTTCACATTGTTTGGAAGGGGAGTCTTAGAACAACGGTAAGGTTGTATCCGTATGACCTATAGGTCACGAGTTCGAGCCGTGGAATCAGCCACTAATTCTTGCATTAGGGACTACCCCTATGGTGCAGCCCTTCCTCGGACCCTACGTGAACGTGAATGCTTCGTGCACCGTGTTACCCTTTGTCAGTTTTCTATGAATAAATGATGGCAAGATTCTTAACTACCGAAAACTAATCGCGTCTAGCTGAAGTCGTTAATTAGTTGGACCACCAGCTCAACTAACTATAGCGATAATGAATATTTAAGTAAGCACAACAGGTGAAGATGATTCCAAGGAAAAACTTCAACTACCTTAAAGAACTAGGGAGATGACCTACCTTGCTCTTGTGCAAGGAATAATGTAGTCCCTTTGAATCCCAAACCTTAAGGATTTTCGATTATACTAACATGAAGAATGTGCAGCATCTTCTGTCCTTGCTCAATCCGCACCATACCGATTGATTGTGGATACTGGTTTTGCTTTTAAGCGACTAATACATCAAAGATCAGTCGTTGTTTGCTTTTAATATTCTGTTCTAATGTATTATGAACAAAGATGGCACTTGATGGAACTTTCTTTTTCATGTTTTACTAGCTCGTAAATTAGTTAACTCACAGAATAGAAAAACTCGTCGCTTGGTGCAAAATGTTAAACATGACGCTAATGTGATCACGTATCAACTTTAATAGTTTAAACATGGAAAAGCTCTCTTGATTTTGAATAACAGCGAAACAAACCACAGAAACGAATATTGCCGCCTTGAATCCATTGTTTATTATTGCTAACCTGGAAAATTCTAATTATAGCTGTAGTAACAACAATCATGACTATATTGCTCGTGTAGTTGCATCCTTTTTGCTAATGATTCGTTTTCGTAATGACTTTTTCCTCGTTAAGATGGTAACCTTTTACAATATGCTGACTGTTTCTTATAATGAAATTGACTTATTACTTCTCATCAGTGTGGAGCCGTATTTGGTCGAGCACAAGAAACTGCTGTGACTTCAGCTAATCAAGGCCCATCATCTTCGACTGTTGTAGTTACCAACAATAGTTCATGTAATACAATCAGTTCTCAGGGTAGAGTTTTACCAAATAATGTTGCTCCAAGACAGCCACAAGTGCAACAACAAGTTGCATTAGGACGACAAGACAAAGGAACAAGTCATTCACGAGTTGAGCCTGAACCAGTCGGAAATGCTGATGTTGAAATAACACAAAGACTTCTACAAGCAGACAAGCTGATTAAATCAGACTGTGAAGGAGGATGTAAAGAAGGTTGTCCCGAGTCCCCTGAGAAGGAAAATTTATCAAAGTTGGAGACTGGATTCCAGTATGCAGTTTCCTCATCGGAAGATGAGGATGTATGTCCGACATGCCTTGAAGGTAGCTTGCGTTATTTCACAATTTTTAAGTTGGTAAAGAACTATTTGATCTGCAATTAGCATACTACGTAGTTGGATAAATCTCTTGATCTGCCTAATTTTGTAAATGACTTTTTCTTTTATGCAGAGTATACACCAGAGAACCCCAAGATATTGACAAAATGTTCACATCATTATCACCTCAGTTGTATTTATGAATGGCAGGAGAGAAGTGAAAAATGTCCTGTTTGTGGAAAGGCAAGAGTTTTTGTTTCTTTTACCTTTTGCTGTTTAAGTTACTCTGGCGCATTGCAAGTTTGCAATATCTTATTTGCTGCATAGTCAAGTTAAGATCTTCTTCCGCAAGGGAGGAGTAAAACATTTTCTATGTCAGTCAAATAACTAATGCTTTATCACTGTTTCCCTAGATTTGCTTTTCCTCTTTACTAGTTTGCGACATGTTTCTGTTCCGCTCAGGACTTTAAATGGCATGTTATACATGCTTTGTCCGTGTTTAACGTACGTAGGTTTAAGAATAAAGTCTTGTTATCTGAAAATGACAGCAGTGTAGGTAGTAAGCAGTTACTTGCTCATTCAGATTGCTCAGTAATTGAGCAGGTATATATATAGTTTATATTTGCGATCTGATCTCTACTTTATATCTGCAATCTGATATTCCACTTTCAGCAACAAATATGTTGTATACCTGTGATTTAAAAGATAGCAAAAGATCATAGAATAATACTTGGAAAAAAAATGTGCGAAGAGCGCTAGTAATGCCTAAATTGATATATTTTTTATCATACAGTTTAAGTTCTTTACCTCTGATTCTCTAACAATTTTTGATTTCCTTTCCCAGTTGATGCAATTCGAGGAGACTAATTAGTGTACGGCGCTGAAGAGGAGCTAAACGAGAATGAAAACCAGACGTATATGTGAAGATTTCCTGCAACTTAGTAAGATGTACATAATTCTTGACTACACTGGTTCCCATCATCTTAGATTTACTCTGGAGTTTTTCCTTTCTTTGGTGTTTTTAACTTTTGATTATTTGGAACATGCCCTGTTATACAACGGATTGAAGAGTAACGCGATATACAGTCAAGAGAACACTTGTTTCCCCTTAAAATCTGTTTGGTATTTATACTTTTGGCGCCTCCCCTTTTTGATTACTGCTACATGTAAAGCAAGTGAGACCAACTACTTGTGCTAATGAAATTTAGATGATTGATTTTATCAGCTTTTTGCGCCATGGTCTTTACATCTTAATTAAGATTGGTGGCACAATGCTACAAGTCTTTTACATCTCAAATGCTTATATTTGCCAGTTGCCTATGCTAAACATTAAGTACAGTACATAGTTACTATTTTTACAGCCTGAAATTAATAAAATACTCAATGAAACACCAAAACAATTAGGATATAGGTGACATCATAGGCAAATCCCACATCAACAAGACACGGGAGAACCTCATGAACAATATCCTGTGCGGGCCTAGGCCCAAAAGCGGACAATATCCCGTGCGGGCCTAGGCCCAAAGCGGAATATATCCCTAGTGGACTAAGCTATTCCATATGATATCAGTCACTTCACATGCAACCTTGAACGGTGGTGGGGAAAATCTCAACGTCCTCACCGAGTGTCCTTGCTGAGTCCCTAAGGGGCAACGGGGGTGTGACACCCTAGGCAAATCCTACTGTATTGGGAAAAAAGTTGAATTTATATTGAAGATGACGTGGCATGACACGTGGACTGGACAAGTGGTCAAAGCGTAACAGTTGGGAAAAAGGTACGGGAAATGACAGGTACGGGAAGAAGAAATGAAATAGGCACGAGAAGCAGTTTAGACACGAGTCTCGTACCAATTCGAAGTCATTTAAAGCCAGCGGGTCGAAAGGCATTGAAGACATGAATCTGAAGACAAAAAGGAGTCCAAATTCAGTATTAAATACCTGATATGTTAGAACATTGATATTTAATAGGAATGATTGTGTAACGGCTCATTTAATGTCATTTATTGTCCATAATTGTCTCATTAAAGCTTAGATTTATTTCCTTTGCCTAGAATCAACTATAAAAGGAGGAAATTGTATTGGAAAAAAGGACATGACTTACCTCATACAAAAATAAGAACTTTTGCTTTCTGCTTTATTATTATTCTCAGAAAGCCTATTATTATTTTGGTCTCTTGATTATCAGTAACCCGATTTTTCATCTCAAATTCTAATATTATCCAAAAAATTTATTTCTTTGGCGAAACACCTACATCGACAAAACACGAGAAACATGCTTTGTATACAAGTAAACATGCCTTAGATCCTAATGACACATTTTAAAGCTGTACAGGCCTAGGCAAAAGCAGACAATATCCCTAGTGGATTGGGTTGTAACAAAACAATTTTTAGCAATTAGAAGGTGTTGAATGAAACATTTCACACGAGAATACATATTTGGAAGTAGTACTGGAATTTCTCATGTTTTTGCACTGGAGTTGGCCTTTTTTTAGCCCTCCAAATGACCTCGAGCAAATCAGTGTTTGGGCATAACATTGTATTGAACTCAAAAAAAATACATAATTGTATTGACAATAATTCCAAGGCAAAAATGTAAACTATAGCCAACAAATGGACGTCCCCTTCCATTTATGAAGGTTAGGAAATTAACATTCTTCACTATTAATATAAAGAAAGACAATAAGGTCCTAAATATATATCAATATAAAGATACCCAATATTAAGAACTTCCCAAAACAAGGCTTAAAATCTTATTTTCCTCCACATAAAGCAGACGAGAACTCAGAATTGGAAAACTTGAACTCCAGCAAAAGGACATTTCTTCAGATGCAACATATAAAGTTTTCTATTCATGTGGCAAAGCATCCCATATGGCATGAATACAAGGAATCAAGATTTAGGTCAAGCTCATTCCTCCTTGCTTCTGCTTCCTCTTGGTAATTACCTCTAATTAATCAATAATTACCATCACCAAATTAATGAAACAATCAAACAAGTAGTGCTTAACCAACTTTGTAAATAAAAGTAGTTACTAAATTCAGAACTTCAATATGATGAAGAACAATAAAAGTAAAGCATTGAAGAATTAATCTGAATAGCCGGCCACCTAACCGCTTAAACTTAACATAGCCAGCGGATGTATATATATATATAATCCATGTATAATATGTGTATACCCATGAATAATCGATGTATAATTTATGTATACTGGCTAGCAGTGTTATCAAAAGCAAAAAGTATAGAAACGCTCTAAGGTACATTGGGGCTTTAAGCGCAAATAAAATGTGGGCTTTGATGAGGAAAGGCACAAAAGGAGAGAAAATACAAATATGTATGTGTAGTCCAAGATCAATAATTATACGCATGAATAACAAATATATGGACAAAGAAATTGGAAAAAGTATGCCATAGAGCCTTGAAGACGCACTGACACACCCGCTAGACAAGGATGTTTTGCGCTCACTTTAGCGCTTAAGCGCGCTTTAAGGCGCCTGTGACAGCACTACTGGATAGAAAAAGTAAATAGTGAATCTGCCGGCTATTTGTGTAAAAATACCATTTTTTCAAAAATAGTACAAGTAACTATGTTGGTTTTGTTTATTTATCTTGTTATAGAGGACAACAATTACCCAATATTTAGGCATGGATGTGGTTGTAGGAGGAAAGATGCTGAATTTGGAACTTGATTTTGCTGATGCCATTCAGCTTGCTGCCCCACTGTCTTATCCTTCTCCTTAATCTGTAAAGAAGCAAAGGAATTAGAAAAAATGAACATGTAGAGTATATGATATTTAACAATTTTTCTAAGATATATAAGTGCTAATTGCTATTATAGAGTATGGTTTACTGTTGAAAACTTTGCTAATTGCTGAACAACTTAGAATAAACTAACAAGAGACAAATTCACCTTCTTGGATAGCATGTTATTCTCCTCCTGGATCGCCTTTTCCTATGAAAGCATAAAATATTACACTCAAGGCGTTAATCAAGATTACTGTACTTAGTAATTAGTAGTAGTAATTAAACTTGGCATGCATATAATTACTAGTACCTTTTTCTGTAGCATAGAGATTGACTCATGCATGAGTTGGTTCTGCAACACAAAAACATCTGAAGTCACATAAAATCTAAAAATTTGCATGAAAGAAAAGCAAATGTTAATGCACCCAAAAGTGTGATTTAGCGGTTAATGAAGTGAGTGAAAACAATGGAAGATCAAGGTTCTAATTGTAGCTGAGACAAAAAAAATTGGGCTATCTCTTCCCATCTAACCAAACCTTGGTCGCCAGAGTTACAGATACATGTGCTCAGGGTCATGTACTGTTTATGGTACAGTTTCGGCGCCGCCGTTTTGACCCAAATTTTGTATTTGTCTTAAAAATTCCTTTAACATATACAAATAATAAATTTAGAACCCAATAATTCCAAAGGACTAGAATTCAAAAGTCCACAACTTCGAATCCTCGGTCCGCTGGTCCGCTTTTGTCTATGCCACCCACTAGAATAGTAGAGGAGGTGCGCGCAAGCTTACAAGAATATACTTTTGTCTTAAAAAATGCAGATGGTATGGCATGAATGAGCTTTCACTTTTGCGATGGTCAGTTTTACTTGCCCTGCAATTGTTAAGGACTCAATTCCCTGGTAGTCCAAGACCCCTAATTAATTACTTTAACTCAAGCAGCCACTAATTCTTGTATTAAAGTAAGCTGTCTACATCAAACCCCTTGGGGTGCGGCCCTTTCCCGAGCCTTGTGTGAACGCGGGGATGCGGTGTACATCGAGCTGTCATTTTTTCTTTAACTAGCAAAGAACACATGTAAAAGGAAGAAAAAAACAATCAAATCTAAATCCTAAATGCGCCTTTACTAGAAAATAACACTGAATAAGTAAAACAAGGGGAAAAAGAAGGATTATGGCATGCCTTTCTTGATCGAATAAGCTTAAGAGAAGTATCAAGTTGTTGTTCCAAGTTTTGCAGGTCCTTTAGGTTCAATGAGTCAAGATCTTCTCCCATATAATGCCTGAAAATGATTTTAAAAAAGTGAATATAAAAACTGAATCTAATTTAAATTGAAGGTGGAAACAAGTATATTCCTGCTACAATGGAATTAACCAATCATGTTTTACTTGTGGTTCCTTTGTAGGAGATCAATCTTAGCCTTGAGTTTAGCATATTCCAGGCTCCAATTTTCCTGCACCTGCATTATACAAATACCAAAACATCAACTTGAAGATTAAAATGGGACTTTAATACTAGGGAAAAGGGTCAGATTTACCTCTCTACTTTCAAAAATAGTTTGCGAACAAAAACACCACTGTCCCTTTGTCCGTTAACCCTTCCGGCATGGCCAACAACATCTTGTGGGGCATGACATTTGAGTGAGATGAACGCCATGTGGCATGTCACACAGGATGTCATTGGCCTTGGTGGAAGGAGTTAAAAGACGAAGGGGCAACTTTATGTGACGGCACGAGTATTTTTGTTTAGAAAGTATAATGGAGGTTAAATATAAATAATTCTTGAAAGTAGAGGATAAATTTGATCCTTTTCTCTTAATACTATATACCTTATAGAATTTATTTTAAATACTTTTTAGGTCATACCGAAGATTCAGAATTACTTGCAAGCAAGCGTCTCTCTGCGTATGAGTATCTCTCATACCGTTCAAGAATCTGTTCCATACTGTTTCAAGAAACAAAAATCATTAGTTTTTCTCTGTGTTAAGTAAAACTCTTCCTAATAACAATTATGAGTGGGTCATTGAGAAACTTATAATGCAACAAGAATTCCGCATAATATTAAGAGGTTAACACGCAATAAGAACAAAAAAAGGTAATGAATGAACGAAAATAAACATATATAGTGAATTTATCAAATACAAGATACCATAGACTTTTAAAAAGGTACTAGGTTTAGTATACGTGTGTTGCACGTGTGTACCGCACCAAATATATAAATTCTATATATTTATTATATGCAAGCACAACAAAATAGTATAAGAAATAGCTTTAACAAAAGGTTGTAGCATAAAGTCTAATGCAATATGGCGACTATCATGTTCAACGAAATTTACAATCAAGAACACCAAATTAAGGATTAATTGAACATCAATACAAATTTTTGATTACTAATAAAAATACCAAAGAAAAATAGACCTTGAAAACCCTTAATTTTATCGATGTCGCTCAAACAACAAAATTATGATGAAAACGTGGAATTGTAGCTTTTTTTTTTTAAAAGTACTCATATATAATTCGAAACAAAAAGAAGAAGTTATATAACGTCAAATTGTGTATAGTTCAAATAGGCCAAAAACATTAATTATTAAATTATATAAAAATAATTACAAATTATACAAATTTTATACATTTCTTCGGCTATTAAATATAAATAGTTTCTGCCGCAAGCTAAAAGTGATAATAGCCCTTCTTTATATGGGGTTCTACTGTTCGTTCCGGAGCGTGCACAATCATGGACCCTCCCCCCCCCCCTTTAATTGATCTGGGGCATACCCCCCCCCCCCCCGGGGTATTTCCACACCTCCCCGTTTAATTGATCTGGGGCATTCTGAGAAGTACAAGTACAAAACAATGAGAAAACTGGTCCTATATGATTGAGAATAGGTTTAAAATAGTCCCTCAAGATATACCTTTGAGCAGTTTGATTATTAAATTAATTTAGTTGCCTGCAGTCTTCATCCGTTATACCTCAACGAACTCCAAGAAAATAGCATAAACGCAAGTATTACAACTGACACAAATTAAATGCTCGAAGGAATTTCCCTTTTATTGGTAAAAAAAAGTACTTTATGAGGCCTCGTATTTCTTTTTTTGGAATCCGTAAAACCCGCAGCCGCTACAGTCTTTGGCTTTTGGATGTGCATCCTGTGGTAAAACCCCACTGTGTAATAGCTTGCAAACCACACAGGAAATATAAACAGCACTAGGTAAACCTTATGCGACAGGCTTGACCCTGAAAAGCATTGAGGGGAATCGATCCAAGGTCATCTGCATGAGGCCTCATATCTTTTTGGAGCATAAAGCACAAGTTTTTTGACTTGGGGTTGAGCTACCCAGTTTACAAAACATAATTTCAATGTGATAAAACGGAAGGCATACGAGGATTTATCGGAAATAATCTTTCTATTTTTACCGATAAGAATAAAGTTTGTATGTCTATTACCCTCCTTAACCACCGTACGGGAAAATACTGGGTATGTGATTTTAAAATGGACGGCATACGAAGTGATACGTGGCTGAAGGACAACGATAATTAGATCAGAAAATTCAATGCGGCTCATTTATTTTACTTGTTACTTTTCTGATCATTAGATCAGAAAATTCAATGCGGCTCATTTATTTCCTCTCCTGCTAAAAAATTTAGGTATTTATTTGTTAACCGAAAAAATTCCTAGGGCAAAAATAAAATAAAATATACTCCCTACATTCACTTGACAGGTATACTACAAATAGATTTTCAATTTTACTTGTTACTTTATGCATGTCAAGAGAAAGACAAATTATTTTCCCTGTTATACCCACAATATTTATTACTCATTTTAAATTATTATCTCAAATCCAATAAAATATGCATCAATTAATATGAGTATCATAGTAAATTATGCAATTCATTTATTATTTCTTAAGGGGCATGAAAAAGTCAAAATGAGCCAAGTAAAAGTGACGATGGATAATAGATTTGTCTTCTTTATCTTTATCTACTTAAGTACAGGGCTTTTACATATGATAAGGTTCGAATCCTTACTGTGCACCTAATCCACACATTACATATTGTGCTATTATTTCGGGAGAATATGTAGATACTTCCAATATATTAAATATTCTCCAATTTAAAAAAAATAGTATTACATATTCTTTAATTTGATTTTGTTGGAACCATTCTAGTGTTTTTGGAACTAAGATTAGTTTAGAAGTAGCCATATGTGCATAAAACTTCAGTCTGTCATTTCCTATGAACACACCAAGAAAAAGAAGCAAGAATAAAATAAAATTGCAGCAACAATAATAAATAACTTGAACGATCTACATGTCATTCAGTAATCATATGAACTAAACCTTAAAAGTCTCGAGAGTAACTTAACAAGATACTACTATTCAATAATTGTTTTCTTCAAGAATGACACAACAACAATAACGACCCAGTGAAATCCCACTAGTGGGATCTGGGGAGAGTAGTGTACGCAAACCTTACCCCTATCCCGATAGAGTAGAGAGGCTGTTTCCGAAAAACCCTCGGCTCAAGAAGACAATTTTCTTCAAGAATGAATCCTCAATAAAATTTAAGGAAAAAATATATATATACTTTAGATAAAACACTAATATTTTTCCTTTTTCATCTGGTAAAAACTAAAATTTTATCCCTTCAAAATACAACAACAACAATAACAAACCCAATAGTTTCTCACAAGCCCTCTGCTAGAGAACGATTGAAACAAAAAGGTAATAACAGCAATATGTAATTGCAATAAGTAGGAATAACAACAAGATGAAATAAGATTGAATGAAAAATGAAACAAGATTATCCCTTCAAAATGAAAAAAATAATAGGTGAAAACAATTACACAAACAATAAAGATTAAAAATTTGGGAGCTATAGTTCTACTTATGGTTCGGAAAAAAACTACATAAACTTACAATTCTAGCTCCGACTCTGAATAAATTAACAAGGAAATTTTTTTAAAAACTTACCAAGAATCAGAAGAGTACTCAAAGATTTTTCCCTTATGAGAAAAAACAATCAAAGCAACTTCAGCATCACAAAGCACTGAGATTTCATGTGCTTTCTTCACTAAACCTCCTCTCCTCTTTGAAAACGTTACTTGTCTGTTAATCTTATTTTCTATACGCCTTAATTGCACTTTTCCTCTCCCCATTCTTCTTCAGACCTAAAAATAGAAACCCTGAAATTATATTATTGCTCTCACAACAAAAACCCTAGTTATAAAAATAGGAAAGAAACCAACTTTTTTTTTATTTTAAAGAAAAAGTAAATAATGGAGTTGGATTGAGTAAAGATATATTGGTCTGAGAAAAGGGTACATAAATGAAGGAGAAGAATTGGGAAAGTGGTATTGAGGAACCAGGTGGTTTTTAAGAATGTGTTGTCGAGTTTTGATTGGTGAAGGTACAACATAGTATGGTATGCATTAGTGTCTGCTGGATATTTCTCACAGATATTTAAGTGTGTTTATTTCCGTACAAGAGAAACTGTACCACATTACTGTAACTTGCTACTACAGTATTTATTTCTGTCTTTTCTCGACACTGTTGACGGCGTTCATTTTTATTTATTTTTTAAACATATTTTTACCTTAAACATTTGGTACTCAAAATTTATTGGATGATAATATACACTACTTCCTTTGTTTCTAATTTATGTGAACTTACTTAAGTAAACTCGAATTTTAAGAAATAAATAATTTTTTTAAATCTTGAGGTTTTAAGCATGCCATAACATATGTGTGACTACAAAATTTCTAATTAATAATAAAATAGGATCATCAATTTCCGGATAACCGTGCCAAGTATACCCTCATGTAAGCACTCTGCCAGGTCCGTACTAGAAAAGACGCGGTCAAGATCAAAAGCACTTGCGCGTATACTGGTCGGTCTAGAAAAGGATTTTCCCTCTCTGTCGAAAAGGGCTCCGCCAGGATAGATTGCCAAAGAGGAGCAATCACCTTTAAAAATAAATACTTTTGCGGACTCAAAATGAAATATTTTAACCTAAATTAAAATGAAAAGAGTATATTCATGCCAAACAAAACCACTAGTAGAATACAACATTTTTTATTTTGAAAAAATCATTTTAAAGATTCAAAATCAAAAAAATAAAAGTGAAGGAATCACAATCATGCCCACTAACTACTAACGGTTCGTTCGGTACTGTTCGTGCAAAAAAGTGCTAAATCTTTTAACTAGATCAATTAATGGTGAATTAAAGGGCGAATCTTAGTTGAATTTAATAAATTCTAGACCGAATAAAATGGAACACTCGTGAGACGAGTAGTGCTCAAGAGCATTAAATAACGGATTTAATACTCTATGATTGACAATAAATATGATAGCATGATATGTAATAAATGTAAATAATGGCAATGAATGTAATAAGAAAGGATCTACCGCCCAATTATTATGTGATTGGGATGTTCCTTTTCTCTGTCAGCGACATGGAAAAGTGAGAAGTCAAGATGGGTATGGAATCTTTGGATCTATGGATAAAGATTGAACAACGTGTGCTTTAATAATATAATCAACGAACAAGACAACTTTTGGATATTCTCTTTTGTCAACCTTTACAATATAATGTGTTCTTATCAAAAAGTGAAGAAGATCTCCCTTTTGTTTTTCTCTCTTCCTATTTTAAGGGACATTCCCAAAAACCCTATAAAGTACAGCATAAAGAATATCCAAAGGAATATTCTTTATGTCTACCTCTATAACCTATGCTACTGTTATTTTCTCACCTCGACTGCCTGCTTTTGGCACCAGCCTTTGTGAGAGCAACCTTCAATCGTTATATCATGGTCGACCCCGTCCTTTGTCTTACTTATCCGTTACCGCCGTGTCCCATTTGGATCTATACAGTTAGTCCCTCCGCTTGTTGAGGTCGTGGCCTTGCACGCCCTCGATAAGCGGACATGATTTGCCTTTGTTTCGGGAGAATTTGGCTGTAGCATAAGCCGGGTCGACAAAGGTCGAGAGAGCGACACAACCAGTGGAGTCATGATTGGTATGGTTGCCATGGGGTGACGTCATAGCCACGCGCGTCATCATTACGCATCTTTCCGAGACAACGTCTGCGTGCCTGTCGCTTTGGTTTTGATGCCCTTGACAATCTTTTGCCTCGATTCTCGCTTTGGGGAGCCTATACAGGCTGCTGAAGGTGGCGCATCGTTGGCGACCGGAGGAGATGGAGCGGTGCTCGCAGAGGACGATGGTTCAAGCTCAGACATCGATCCTGAAGAGGTACGGGCCTTTTTGGAGAGAAACACTCGCGTGGAAGTGAGGACGGAGGGTCCTAACCGACACGTAATCCTTCGCGTGGGTTGCGACCTTTTGGCTAACTCCGAACAGGTGGTGTCGTCCTTCGCCCCCTTGTGCGCTGCTTCTGAGAACGCGACGCTTCAGACGATGAGTGACGCAGAGCTGTCGCTGAGTATTTCTGGCATAGATTTGCGAGTAAGTGTTTTTTACTATTAGTTTTTGTTTCGTATGCGTAATCTGCTTATGCTGACTTTCTTTCCTTTGCATATCAGACCCTCATTACGGGGATTGAGCGCAACTGGTTTGACGAACGGAGGACGACCGTTAATAAGAAGATGACCTCTAAGTACAAAGAATACCATACCAAGCATCGAGCGCTGGCCAACGTCTTTAACCAAGATAGCGAGTTTCAGCTATTTCGTGACGCGCTCAAACAGAGAGAGGAGGAGTTGGCGAGGAAAGTTGAGGAGCTGAAGGAGCGGGATGATGAGCTGATGAAGGCCATAGATTGATGCAGCGAGCTTGAGGCGGATTTCAAGGCCAAGGAGGATTAGCTCGAGGTGAGTAAGGGGGTGATGGCCGAAAATGCCGAACTTCAAGCGCGGGTGGCTTCCTTAACTGCTGAGCTTGGGCAGAGGGAAACGGAGGCTATCGATCTTAGGAGCGAGTTGAGCGTTAAGGTCGAGGAATTGACTCGTGCCAAAAAAGGGCAGGGTGGCTGCCATATCCGAAGTAGCGGCCTTAGATGACGCCCTCCGCGTTTGTAGGTCTAAGAGGGATAATGAGGTGGAGACGTCGGCGCTCATTGAGGTTAGAAGAGCGGATCTAGGATTGGAGGCGGAGTTGTCCGGATTAAACGAACAGGTTGTTGCTATGAAGGCTGAGGAAGTGCGACGGCAGTCGCAGCCATCTATGTCTCATACTTCTGTCGATCCCGTCGTACCGCGGAAGTTGTATGAGATGTGGGTTCATGGTGAGGCTCAGATTGATGTGTACAAGTCCCTGAAGGCCGACGGGAAAGTTTCCGAGGCTGAACTCGAGGGTGTCCGTATTAAAGCATGTGCGGCTCGTAAAGCCTGTGGTTATGACCCTGGTACGCCTAGTGGGGATGATGTTGATGATGATGCGGACAGGATCGCCTCCGACTCTTGGTATAATGATGAGTACGCTGAAGGAGATGACGCGGCGTAGGGCCTTTATACTTATTTTTGTTTTGCCCTGTTATTTTTGTGAGGGCGTTTTTGGGCCCTTTGTAAAAAGTTTTGTAGTATAACAGTTGTAATGGAATTATTACCTTTTTGCTGTGTTTTTCCGGAGTCATTTTTTGTTTGCTATGCGGTGAAGTCCCTGGCTTTTTGGCCGCTTGTGTGTAGTGTTTTGGCGTAGTTGATCGTAGATCTCAAAGTAACTCAAGAGAGGTCGAGTGTAAAGTAATTCGAGTGAGGTCGAGTGTAAAGTAATTCGAGCGAGGTCGAATGTAAAGTAATTCGAGTGAGGTCGAATGTAAAGTAATTCGAGCGAGGTCGAATGCTAAGTAATTCGAGCGAGGTCGAATGTAAAGTAATTCGAGCGATGTCGAATGTAGGATGCGAAAAAGAAACTTGATGGAGAGTAAAAATGTTGCTTTATTTCATTCACTAGAGAATACTATACAAGTCCGTTTCATACATATATCGGAGAAGTTTCCATGTATCTAGTCCCTTCATCGTTCGGCCTGGAGAAGAGGTCGGCAGGCGGGGCGATGAACCATACTTGAACTTCGAGACGTCCCCTTCATCTCCTCGTTAAGAACCTCCCCGAGAAAACCCAATTGGGATAAAACCCGAGTGAGGGAAAAAGAGTACGACTTGAGGGGCGTCGTTTTTCAGAAGTTGAAGTATTTGAGAAGGGCGACATTCAAATTGTTTTGTAGTAGTTTTCCTTCCATTTCTAGTTGGAATGCTCCTTTGCTTGCTGCTGCCGTGATTTTGTATGGCCCATCCCAATTGGTTCCTAGTTTGCCTTCTTTCGGGTCTTTGCTCGCTTGTGTTTTGGCCTTGAGAACATAGTCTCCGACTTTCAGTGGTTGTATTTTGGCTTTTTTGTTGTAGTACCTTTCTGCTTGTTGTTTTTGGGCTACCATTCTTACGTAAGCCATGTCTCTTTGTTCTTCTACCTCGTCGAGGTCTTGTTTTCTGTTCTTGCCATTGTTTTGTCCGCTTTCATTGGAGTATCTCAGGCTAGGTTCCCCGACCTCGACAGGTATCATAGCGTCAGTCCCATAGACTAGTGAATATGGCGTTTCGCATGTGCTCTTTTTTGGCATAGTGCGATTGGCCCATAGTACCTCTGGTAGCAATTCTGGCCATAATCCTTTGGCATCCTCGAGCTTTTTCTTCAAGATGTTCAATATTGTTTTGTTGGAGGACTCGGCTTGACCATTACCGGCGGGATGATATGGCATGGAGAGTATTCGCTTGATGTGCCATTTTTTGAAGAACTCGACGTTCTTTTTTCCGGTGAATTGGGGTCTGTTGTCGCAGCTGATTTCTTTGGGGATGCCGAAGCAGCATATGATGTTTCTCCATATGCATGTGATAACTTCCTATTCGTGTATTTTGGCGAATGCATCTGCTTCTACCCACTTGGAAAAATAGTCAGTTAAAACTAAAAGGAATCGTGTGTTACCTCGCCCTGCTTGGAGGGGCCCGACAATATCCATTCCCCATTTGATAAATAGCCATGGTGATGTAACCGAGTGGAGGAGCTCGCCAACTTGGTGTATCATAGGGGCGTATTTCTGGCATTGCTCACACTTCTTGACATAGTCGGCGGCTTCCTTCTTCATTGTGGGCCAGTAGTAGCCTGCCCGAATGAGGCATCTGACAAGGGCTTAGTTACCTGTATAGGCACCGCAGTGGCCCTCAGGTACTTCTTCGAGGACGCGCCTCGTTTGGTTTGGCCCTAGACATTTCGCCAAGGGGCCCCCAAATGTTCTTTTGTACAGGTCGTGGTTGATGATGTTGTACCTGACTGCCTGCATTCGAAGCTTTTTGGTTTCCTTTTTGTCCGATAGGAGTACTCCCTCCTGCAAGTATGTTATGATGCGGTTGCGCC